GTACTACTGTTTCATGAGAAACTATTTGTTCTGTAAGCCTTCACCTAAAGTACAATAAAATATATAAAAATAAATAAATAAATAAATTTTGGTTTAGGAAGGAAAATAAAAATAAAAAGCTAGTTGCAACTATAGCTATATTTTCAAACAAGTTTTAAACAAACACACCAGGAATAGTACTTGATGCTATAATGTATCTTAAGGAAAAAAAAAAACCTTTGATCTGATGGTCCAAAAATGTAAACACAGATCAACATTTTATACATAAAATAATCTTTCACTTCAGATGATAGAGGATTTTTTGAAGCCCTTGGAGGGGAAGCAAGTTAGGTTTGCACACATGATTTTGCTTAATACCATGATCCCATGCCACATTCTGTAAGCCAGAAGCATGGAGGTTTGTTAAAACGCATGTGAAATTCAGCTCCAGTTTGTCCCCTTTGCTTTTATATGTAATATTTTTAAGAATATGAAGCATTTTTAGTTTTCTTTTAGATTGTATTTCTTTACTTCTCATTTATTTTTAATGCAACTTTTAAATAAAATCAAATTTTGCTTTTAAAGCAACAGAGTATTAAGATGCAGACAAAGACTATGTTAATTATTATGTTAATTTCTCAGATACTTTAAATTGTTCTTTATTCTGCCTAGAAACTCAAGTCAATTGAGTAATATACCAAAAGACCTTTTCTCAGTTGGCCCTTAGGTATTGGGATGACTTTTATTCCCAATGCGCATTTAAGGAAGTTTCTCCCAAAAGAGAACTCAAGATGACTCTTATTTCCATTTAGATGTTTCCTCAGCAACCTGGGACCCCGGGCATGGCTAGTTTGAGCCTTGAGGTATGTTTGCATATGATCTTGACATTGGTTATGTTCCTGACAAAGGAGAAACATGATGGGCTGCTTCTCAGTTCTCCTACTTAGAAGTCTGTGGCTGTCATCCTGTGTAGCCTTGCAGAAACTTACAACATTTGTTAGAGCCTCATCTTATAATTGTACTGCAATTTTAAACTCAAGTGCTTTAATCTTTAAAACGTCGTCTATATGTGAATCCAAGTAATACTAATAATTAATACATAACAGACATTAATATATATTATATATGTTAGTATAATTACTACCTTAATGTAATTACTACATTAATTAAAAGACATTTTTCTGTTGTCACAAATGGTTTATATTTAATTACTTCCCCTTAAAATATGGAGCCCTGGTAGCTCAGTGGTTAAGAGCTACGGCTGTTAATCATAAATTCGGCAATTGGAATCCACCAGCCTCTCCTTGAAAACCCTATGGGGCAGTTATGCTCTGTCCTATAGGGTCGCTATGAGTCGCAATCAACTCAATGGCAACGGGGTCCTTATAATACCATATATGATAAAGTTCCAATGAAGAAAATTTACATGTATAAAGTTTAATTGTTTATAGGGACTCCTGTAAAGAGCTCTAACATTGTACTATGTGATACCTGCTGCATATCCTGTATTTGTCTTATTGAAGTTCTCATAACTGATATACCTTATGTTTAGAAAACCCAGCAAAGTGGAAATTTTTTACAAATATCAATAGGAAATATTGACAGCTATAAACAGAATAATAGTTATAAGATTACAAATTTTTCTCAAGGCCTTGCAAAATTTCCCTTCACCATGCCAGTCGGAGAGCAGTCAATACCTACACAGGCTAGATGTTGATTTCACATGGAAACTAATTTCACCATTTTTTCACTAATTTTTCTCACTTTGTAGATTAAATTCAATCCAAAACATTCTAAATCTCTTCCCATTAAAAGTGACATTGACTTTCTGTTGCATTGGTGGCGTTCTTGACAATCTATCCACATACTTTACCATTTTTCCCAATATTTTCTATGTTTACTATTTTGATGACTATTTGGGAAAGAGGCTGAGTAGTTTTTGGTTGTTTTTTTTTCCCCCAAATTTCTCTTTGGGCTGAATTTGTGAAAGGCAAAGTAAGTTAAATGAGAGGGAAGAGGACGCAATGAAGCAATGTCTTCACAATCACATTTATATTTCAGTTGAATGAACTATTTTCTTGTGTTTCAGTGTGACCACCACTTAAGTGGTGCTATTTTAGTAGTAATAATAACAACAGTAACAGAATTGTTGTTACCGTGTACACTATTTAACACTTTCACTTTTCAGTGGTGATTTGTGTTTACTTTTATTTTATTCAAATTGACCCACTGCAAACTTTGTGCTGATAATGAGATATCAGTTAAGAGTCACAACAGAAAAGAAAAACACACGGCAAACACTAACCCACTTTTTTCTTGATAGACAATGAGACAGTTGGGAAGTCTGCAGGGATTAAACATGCTTTCTCAGGTAACCTTATTTTCAAATATTTCTTTTTACAAGTATTCTTGGTGGTGGTGGCAGCCATATTAGCAGCAGTATTATAATTCATAAAATTTGTTTGTTAACAGACAATAACCTAAATACTGAAAGAACAAATGAGTAATTGAGGTAGCCTAGAACAAAATAAGATCCTGGGGTGAGGTGGCAGGGGAAAATTAAAACCATATTAAATTTTTTTTGGTAAAAAAAAAAATCCCTTCTTGGATTATCAATTTTATTATATGGCCCAAAATATGAATACTTAAACAGCTAAATTTCAAACAACCTTATGGGAATATTGCAACCTGACTCAGAATAGAACATAAAACTCTTAAAAGACAGCATTTGCCTATCTATGTAAAATTGACCAGTAACACTCTTAGTTTTCCTATCTATACACTTTCTGTGAACTTTTGAGAAAACGGACACCACATTTAAGCCAATGCTGAAATATAAGCATGTCTTCCTCCCCCTTACCCCCACCCCATGTTTTTAGTATTCTAGATTTGGCTTTGGGAAATCTTTTAATTCTATGTGGCTGCATGGTCTCCTCCCACCACATTCCCCTTTCCCATGGATGCGACCAAGGGAACATGAAACTCAACAGGTATATTTGCATCAATGTGTTTGAAACTTCAGACTTTAAAATCTCCCCCTATTTGCCTTCTCTGTATTTGTGGTTCAGTGGTAGAATTCTCTCTTTCCATGCCGGAGATCCCAGGTTCAATTCCTGGCCAATGCACCTCATGCACACCACCCCTCATCTGTCAGTGGAGACTTGTGTGCTGCTTTGATGCTGACCAGCTTTCAGTGGAGCTTCCAGACTAAGACTAGGAAGAAAGGCCTGACAACCTACTTTTGAAAATCAGCCAATATAAACCTATGGATCACAAAAGTCTGATCCACTACCAATCAAGGGGATGGCTCAGGACCTGAGTAGTGTTTCGTTCCATTGTACACGTGGTCGCCATGTGTCGGGGGCCAATTCTATCACAGCTAACAATAACAACAATGTTGTCATATACTAGCATAGACAGGTAATAGTAATTAACATAAAATAATTCAAATACCAGAAAATCAAAGCCTGTAACTGGGGGACAAAGACTTACAACAAATAATTTGAATCCAGTGAGAGAGTGGTAAAACAGAGATACATACAGCCTGCTAGAGAGCCTAGAGGAGGAAACAACAAACTCTATCAGGAAGTTCAGGTAGCATCCCATCTTCATGAGCAAGAGTAGTCCTGAAGGAGGTCAGGGAGGTGGACATACGCAGACCTCCCCAAATAACATGGTGCCTCTGGGTGGACTCCAACCTCCAACCCTTCCATTAGCAGCCAAGCGCATTGCCAGGGACTCCCCAGATAACATAGACTGTAAGTAAATGGATGTTTTCTACGTAAACGCAGCTCCAAGGCAAGTCCTCTAGCCCCTCTTCCAAGTAAAAATCGCCCCAAGACCTTTTGATTGAGAAATTCTAGACGCCACAGTTCAATGAACCATCCCTTCCTGACCCTCTTTTAAAATTTCTCTGCAGTATGAATATTCTTTGCCTGTTCATCCCCCACCTCTACCATCACAGCAGTCCCTGCAACCTCAACAACCCAGGCAGAAACTTTTCCCCCACCCCACTGCTCCAACCGCCATCCAGGGTACAGCCCAGAAGAGCCTCCTGCAGCCTGCAATTTACCAGGGACAGCCGCCCTTGCAGCAAAATGAGTCTCCAATGATTCTGCAGCAGGTGGCACCATCAGATAAGCCACCAAAGCCTGAGGTAATGACTTTCTCTAACGGCAGATCAGAACCCTGCTAACTAAATGAAAGAGAAACAATTAGCCAGATACATGTAAATAATCACAGCCTTCAAGCATAATGCACAAAAATACAAATACGTTATTAATCAGTCTGACATATCTTGGACTTATTTTTTGGGTAGAACATAAATATTCATTCTGTTTTTTGCCACTGGAAATAAGGTATGGATTCTAAAAGAGCCTGTGCTTGTAAAACTTGGTTTCTGAATTGAAAAAGAGGATAGTCTTCAGAGGAAACAGGACAGACTAGGCTTCCTATTATCGGTCTCTTTCAGTGTTGGAAAAACTGAGAAGAGTGATGGCTACCTCAGCACAGCAACTAGTGTTTTGTATTATTATTTCTCTGCCTGACCATAGAGAAGACAACTATGCAGAAAGTACCTTGTAAAAATATAGAGAAAAGAACAATGGTCAGAAAAGGAAAGTACCACCATCCGTTGCAGGCAATTAACATTCAATTCCCCTGTATCATCCTGACTACAACCCTGTAAAGGTAGATATTATCATCCTTTTTATAAAGGATAAAACTGAGACTTAGAGAGGTTACAAAATATGCTCAGGGTTACACAAAAATTTAGGAGCAGAACCAGGATTCAAGTCTAGAATGTTTTAATTTCAAATTTCATGTCTTTGCATTCTACAATGGCAGGTATGCAGGTATGGCAGGTATGCCCCATCTCCCTGAGTCATGTCAGTAAATAAAAGACAATTGTACAGTTAAATTATAACTTTAGGGTCATACCCCCAAAAGACTAAAAGAAAGCAAAATAGGGAAACTCACTCTAGATTTTATTATAACTTTATTATAATCATAAAATAAGAGTATGCTCGATTCACTTTGTCTATTTTTACTGGTAATTTTAATATTTGTCTGTGATACAGTTGCCAGGAATGGATTTTGCTGATCCACAAGGTCCACCAGTAAGTACGGATCTCTATACTTTCTTGGAAAAAGATTTCTATACTTCAAGAAAGCAATGAAAAATTAAAATTATTCCATTTTTGAAGTATAATGGGTTTCTTTGCTTTTTAAACCTTAAATCCTTATTTTTCATACTAATCTACCTGAAAACATGTTTTCGATAACTCTTAAAGAAGTTAATATAATGGGGATTTGTGTGTGCTATGACAAATATGAATTACTTAATCAATTTTCTACTACTTAAAGATATTCCAAATTGCCCGTTTGATATCTCGAGGACCAGTGCCACAAAATAAACAATCTCCAGTAAGTTTTTTCACACTACTTCTCTGTTTGCAATTTACTTACAAGTTTTCCCCCTGGAAAATGCATTTTGTGATGACTATTGTCTTCATATTTAGCTTTATCCAGAAATGTTTTACATGTCCTATGGAGCAAATCAATTGGTAAGTGTATATTCTATTTAAAATGTCATTTTTAATTAAATGTTTTCTTAAGAGCTAAAAGTATAAAATCCAGGCCTCATACAATATATCGCAAATGGATATGCTCTTATAATGCCTAAGTTAGCAACTTGAATGGCAAGGAGGTACAGTTCCTATTTGAATAATTCTAGCCAGATACATTACACACACACACACAAAATGGCATTAAAATTTTTTTAATCTGAATTATACAAATTGGCTGCATTTATTCAACAATCATTTACCTCTCTACTCTTTTCTGTAACATGCATTAATATTAAGGCTTAAGGGAAAACTAAATGACTTTTAACTTTGTTTTGAGTGGCTAAGAAGGTAATAGAAGGCAGCTGGTTCAAAATATGATGCAATGTTTCTCCTTTAACAGAATGCCCCTGCCAGACTTGGCTTCATGAGCTCAGAAGAAATGGCGGTGAGTAATGTCTTCAAACTCTTCTTAAAATAGTAGCCAGGGAAGAACAGTCACAAACTGCTGGCTCCAAGAGATATTGGCCATGAATGTAGCCAATATAAAGCATGAGATTCAGATTTTTCCACTCCAAAACCAAAAGCTTGATTCCAAAGCAGCATCCAAAGATTTCATCACATTTTCTGTAGAGTCATTTCAAAGTGATGACCATTCTTGAACACAAAGTTAACATTGAGAAGAATCCCACAGAACCTCAGGACTTATACTCTGGATAATAGATAAAAGAAGAAAGTCTTGTTTTTTTTATTTAAAAATAAAGCTTCTCATAAGCAGTTTTCAGCCTATTAGATTAAGAACAGTAAAGCCCATTAGTTGACAACCGTTTGTCCTTCTTTGTGTTGTGCTGCCTAGAAATAAAATTGTATAAGGTGTAGCCAGGACTGGTTTTGCCCCATCTTTGTACATGATCACAAAAGAAACCTCTCCTGATCAGCCATCATTACTAAACTGTAAATGCTTCAAACCCAAAAAAGATATGCGTAGTACACACAGAGTTCCCATTCCTTCTCAGGCCATTTAACCCCTCAGAACAACACATTCAACAGCACTGCAAGTAACTCAGACTTCAAAATTTAGAAATTAACCAAATTTAAATTTTGAGTAGTGTAACATTCAAGATGCACAATAATTCCATGATAGTATATTCTTATTCTGTTATCATTATCCATGCATATTACAAATTTCAAACTTGAGATCAATAGACTCCCACAACTTTTTTTCCATCAGCAATTTCTATCTGTTATCCATCTGTTAGAGCACAAAACAAAACAAATGAAGAACCATACTGAATTAACAAATTGCTATCAACTAAAAATCCTATCAAATTAATAAATAGACAAACATACTATCACTAGAAGAAAAAAAAACCACATCTCAACCTTTTTAAGTGTTTTTTGTATGCTCTACCCATAGAAAGATACTATGCAGACAAGATAAATAAGTTTCCTGTTTTCAAGATGCTTAGTCTAATCCATCGAAAAGATAGATACAAGGACAAAGAGGGTCAAAATCATGTGATAAGGGTAACAATAAAGCTAAGAGAAGGAGGGGCAATTAGCCCAGCCTGGTAGTTCACAGAACCCTGGAAGAAATAATGCAAAAACTGAGATGTGAAGTGTGAAGAGCTAGGCGAGTGTAGAAGGAAAGATTATTGGATCTATGTAACACTAACACAACTGGATGAAAATTCAGAATTCAAGTACATGGTGATTACCACCTTGTAATTTTAATTTACTTATATTATGCCTCATACTCAAAAGATTGTGGGGTAACTTACGAAAAACACACAGTAAATATAACAAAAAAAATCGAATATCTAATTTACAATGAGTCAAAATTACAAGGAAATAAGAATACAGATATACAAGTCACAAAGCCCTGCACAATTGCTGTAAATAGCTTACACATGATTTTTGTTCCAGAATTTCTGGCAGTAAAAAGAAAGGAAACATGATCAGTTCTGGAATTTTAACTGTCCACAGGAAGAAAATATTTCATTTCCTCCAGAGAGATTAAGCTTTAATCAAGCTTTTTCTAATACATAGTTCTAAAAAAAAAAAATCTTACATGGGGGTTCGTTTGAGGGATACTGAGAAATGCTATTGCCAAGGTCCTCCAAAGCATCTCTCAACAAACTTAGTCATGGATTTCAGTTTTTTTTTGTTTTATAATGGTATTACCCATTTCAAATGTTAATTATTTTCTTAAAATTAAATTCACACTGGGGTGGGAAGGAGGGGTGTGCTGTCACAGTATGGGGAGAGCGATTAGTCACATAACAATGTATGTATACATTTTTTGTGTGGGAAGAAACAAAATAATTTTTTTAAAAATTAAATTCACACTAACTTTTACCTGGAGCCTTGGTTCTGCCCTGCTGCCCCATTGCTCCCCTTCCCTCCATTCCGACCAGACATGGTGAAAGGTCTCCATTTCCCTTTCACAGAAGTGGCCTCCCACGCCCATAAAAGTGCAGAATCCTCTCCATTTAGATTGCAAAGCCAATTTAAGGTGATATGTGCCAACACAGAGCTGTCAGCCAACTCTTTACCAAGTTTTATGGTTTCTCAGTGAATCTGACCACATACAATTGTATGGTATAGTTATCATATGTGATAATGGTGTCTTTAATGAATGGCTTTTTTCTAGGGAGGCAGAGAAGGCCCCACGGCCTATGGAGCTGTATTCCCAGGATTTGGAGGCATGAGGTCTGGCTTTGGAGGAATGCCCCACAATCAAGCCATGGGTGGTGACTTTACTCTGGAATTAGACTCCCCGGTCGCTGCAACCAAAGGCCCCGAGAAGGGAGAAGGAGGTGCACAAGGCTCCCCCATGCCAGAGGCCAACCCAGCCAATCCAGAAAACCCAGCTCTCCTTACAGATGTAGCTGCTGGCACCCACGGAGGGCTTCTTGCTTTCCCTAAGGGCAACATTCCCAGCTTGGCAAGGGGCCCTGCAGGGCAGAGCAGAGGACCCCCCAGGGTCACTCCCGCAACCGCTGACCCACTGGTGACCCCCGGATTAGCTGAGATTTACGGAACCTACAGTGCTGACATGACCACACCCCTAGGTCTCCAGGAAGAAGCCACTACTGATACCACAGCGACCCCAGACACTCAGCAAACATCAATGCCAGGAAACAAGGCCCAGCAGCCCCAGGTTATGCATGATGCGTGGCATTTCCAAGAGCCCTGAAAACCTTCAGATATTAGTTGCGTCCTGTACGCACAAGCTTCTCAGCTTTGTCCCCATAGTGTATCTTTTTGCTAAAACACTTATTAACCTTCTGCGGCAAAGGTATTACCAGCACCAAGCGTATATTAATAAATCAAAGTGGCTAGCAGCAGCGTAGGCCCCCTTCTTGCTTTTATTCTCTTATCAAAATAGATGTTTGGGTTGCCTCTGTGATTCAGAGATACTATCAGTAACATCGGAGCAAGTCTAAGGGTCTCTGAATTTGATAACTACTGTTGTTTAGAATTATAGAATTGCTCCTACTAGCATGCCACTGTTATATCCAGGAAATGTGACACTGCTTTGGAAGGTTTTTTCTAAGCAAAGACACATATTCTCAGAATTATAAGCTATTTCATTCAAACTTTATTAAATGGGGATTGGTGGAAAACCCTTGACTGATATTACTGGGTTTGGTACATTGGATTTAAAAGCCTCATTTGTAGAGTATTTTATTTAATCTAGTCTAAGCTATTTTAAATAAAGAATTTTTCTCACTGAAAAATATCAGGAGTTGTATGCTTATTATTTATATATTTAAAAGGTTAAGAAAAGCATACTCATCCCCACTTGCGTTACTCTTTTACTCATTTTATTCAACTCATTCATTCCTTCATTGAAAGGCATTGGGGATATATCACCTTTCCTCACGGAGCTTACAATGGGGATGATTGACAAGTATACAGACAATTACAATAATAATAATAACAGCCACTCTAGGCCAGGCTCAAGTACTTTATGTGTGTTATCTCACAAAAAAACACTGCAAAATAAATAACCCTAAGGCCACAGCACATGAGAAAAATACCATGAAAAGGCCAAATACAGGGTGTTCCTGAAACCACAAGTCTCCTAACCCAGGCTAGGGGGCATTGTAGGAGCTGGAAGGAATCAGAACAGTATTGAAGGCAGCTGCAGGATGAGGCCTCCAAGAGGAAGAAACACAAAAAGAGTCATATGGGTGCCATGTGAGAATTAGCTCATCTCTATGAAATATAAGGTGGGAGAAGGGAACCCAGAAAATGATCCTTGTTTGTCACCAAGACTAGATATGTATCAGCCTGGCCATATGCATAAATTAAGAGGTTCCAAGCCTAGATCTGGTCACCCCTGAAAAGCAGCTTCCTATTCCACTTTCACTACCTCTTCCTAAATTGCCAAATCCAGGTCTTCCATATTGTTTCCAAGTCCCTAATCAATCTGGTACTGACCCCAAGTTAGTGTAGATCTATATTTCAGGACATCTCTCCTTCCACAAAAAGTAGACAACCAGATGTACCATTTAAAGTTCTGCCTACTGAGTGGGATTATAGTGCATTGACTGTCCATTGAACTCGGATTCCCCTCCATACCCTGATGGAAAAATTCTGGGAAGCAGCCAAAAAAAAGATTCCTGAGATTCCACCAGACCGAGGATACATCAGGAGCCTTAGCAGGAACATGTACCCACCACCTATTCTCTCCCCCTCTCTAGGCAGGCTTCTGTTCACCCCTACCCCATAGACTAACACTTAAGAAGACACGCAGGAGATAAAAAATCAGTTTACTACCCCTGGTGGCTCTGGCAAAAGGGGGAGGGTGAGAGAATGCCCTCCAAAGTAGCCAGTAGATACCTACTGAGACCTACTTTAGCACTGCACAGTCTCCTAAAAAGCAGGATGGTAAAAGACATACAGATTGACCTGGATTCAAACCTTGACATCACATCCTACCATCTATGAGACTTCAGATGTGAGACTTAGTTCTCTGACTCTGTGTTTTCTTTCCATAATGGGGCTACGACCTAACTCACAAGGTTGTTGTGAGAACTAAATGAGATGAAGTTCACAGATGATATTGCTCAGTCATAGCAGTTTCCTACTTTATCAACGAATTTTTTCACAAAGAGAACTTAGCAAAACAACAACAGTTAACAACTGAAGAATGCAGTTGTTCTACTTGTCTAATGAATTTATGCTTTTTCATTCACACTCCACACACTGCCCTTCTGGTCCTTCTTTGTAATTCAGAGCATGTATTTGTGAGACGGTTTCCCCTGGTGAATGCTGCCCAGTCAGGGGCTCAGAGCTGGCCTTTGCTATTAGCAGTCTGGGCACTTGATAGAGGAGCAACTAGATCATCTTTGGTGCAGGGACTATCATGTTGTTGAGACTGTGAATAGCCTGTATCCCTATCATCAGAACCACTTTGAAACTGGCTCTCAAACACCCAGGTGACTGGGGAAAGAGGCTAAATGTCACCCATACCAGGGGGTCATCTTGATTACTGAGAATTTCCTCCACTGTGGCGGTCCTCCAGAAGGCACTAACATGAGATAGAAATATCTTCATACTATATCCTGTTCTGAGAGGTCTATCCAAATACCCTGTATTCTACTCCTCTTTATCACCAGTCTTTCAATTTTATTCTTTCCAAGCCCCTGACCAGCTGACTAATCTGGAACTGACCCTGAGAAAGTGTATATCTGTATCTCAGGTCATCTCTCATTCCACACGAAGTGGACAACCACTTTGTGGTTGTGTACACGTTTAAAATTCGGCCCACTGAGTGGGATTGTAGGGCATTGACTGTCTACTTCTAGCTGATACCAGAATACCATGCATAAATCCATGGACCAGGCCCCTACTTTTTCCTCTCCATTTATTGGACATAAGTAGGGTAGCTATATCGGTTAAGTACTCAGCTTACTAACTGAAAGGTTGGTAGTTCCAACTCACCCAGAGGTTCTGAGGGGAAAAGACGTGGTGATCAGCTTCTGTAAAGTTTACAGCCAAAAAACTCTATGGGGCAGTTCTACTCTGTCACTTGGGGTCATTATGAGTCAAAATCAGTTCAACAGCACCTAACCACAGCAACAGGGTAGCTATATAATTGTCCTCCAAACTGGGACAGTTTGACAGTGAAAGCATATCTTTAATGATTATGTGGGACAGTAGGTATAAACCGGTACTACCTATGGGAAACCTGGACATATGGTTATTCTAGTCATATGCAAAATCTCATGAGGCCAAATGTATAGATTGAGGGAGAAACATCAAAGTTATACAAAAGGAAGTACATGAAAGTCTGAACCACTTGCTTGTGCAATTTGAGCCCTCCAGACCTGTATAAGCCTGGTGTCATATATACCATTCCCATTTACAATGGAATGCTGCTGAGTATGTTCAATTTTATATCCAATGGATCATATATCACCCAGTTCAAGATGGGCAACTCAAACAGCATAATCACTTGGCATCCGATAGTCAGTCACACTCTCTATCAAGGCCCACCAGCAAGTGAGAGCTACTCTTCACAAAGAAAATCCTACTGTCTGTGCTGTGATTCTCCTACCAGGGCTTGCCAAAGGCTCTCTATATAGCATCTCTGCCTGCCATATACTGTATCTACTTCCAGTACCTCTGGGTTTGCTGGGTCATAATGCCCAAGTGACAGGAAAGCTTACACTATAGCATGGACCTCTTCTACTAAAGCATCACTCAAAACTGGAAGCTTTTCAAGATATCCAATATGTGGCATATGTAGCCTTCAAAACACAAAGAAGTCCAACAAGCATTGTGCTTCTCTCTTCTATTAGGGTGGCGCAAGCTGCAGTAACTTTTCTTTCACTTTATTAGGCTGTTGTTAGGTGCCATCGAGTCGAATCCAACTCATAGCAAACTTATGTATAACAGAATGGAACGTTGCCTTGTTCTGTGCCATCCTCACAATAGTAGGTATGTTTGAGCTCATTGTTGAAGCCACTGTGTTAATCCATTGAGGGTCTTCTTTTTTTTGGCTGACCCTCTGCTTTACCAAGCATGATGTCCTTCTCCAATGGTTGGTTCCTCCTGATGATGTGCCCAATGTAAGCAAGGTGAGGTGTCATCACCCTTGCTTCTAAGGAGCATTCTGGCTGTACTTCCTCCAAGACAGATTTGTTTGTTATTCTGGTAGTCCGTGGGGTGTTCAATATTCTTTGCCAATACCATAATTCAAATGTATCAATTCTCCTTCAGTCTTCCTTTTTCATTGCCCAGCTTTCTCATGCATATGAGGCGATTGAAAATACCATGGCTTGGGTATCCCAATATGTCCCAGACAACTGGACCCCATGAACATTTACAGTATTAATCTTCCACTCTCTTGCTTGCTATTTTCATGGTATACACATGAGGCCACATTGCAGGATCCTTCCTCGTAGAGACTTGGTCTACCCTCAGTTGAGGAGCTCCAGAATTGGTATCTAGATAAAAGGCTGTGAATCCCACTATGGCGACTTGAGTTAGACTCAGTGAACCTAGAAATTTTTTGTCCCTTTATGTCAAGCAGTACCTTAACAGAATGCCCATCTACTTAATTTCTAGAGACCCATGATCAACTATCTAACAGTACAGATCCCTATTGGTCAAAGCACTCTGATTACCGTTCCATCCTGTGGCTTATTGTGGTGATTGCAGCCTCTTTGTCTCTGAGAGATGGTCACCACCACTGCCCTCTACTATCCCAGAATCCTATTATTCTCATTGAGATCAGGGATCCCAATTCCAAAGCAGCATGGCCCACCATCATATCTGGTGTACAGAAGATAAAACCACAGAGCTCTTCATTTCTTAATGCCTCAGTGGAGGAAGTGTTTTCTAGGCCCTTCTGGGTGGAAAAGGGTGGAGAGTGGATCTGTAGGGGCACACTTACCAATGGAGTAAGGATAATAATTTTTAAGTAGTATATAATAACTTATTTTATTTACAGCAAGTAATGCTGGTTTTCTGTTTACAGATGTGATATGGAGTTTCCTTTTAAAATAAATTTTATTTTTTAAGTGTGTAGATTAAAGAAAAAATATTAAGTAGACAATATGAATTGTAGTAGGATATGACAATAATCACAAAGACAGTACAAAAATGACTATGTATATAAATAAAGTTGGGGGAAACTCTGATTTAATTCACACTTCTTTATAAATAAAGAGACTAATGGTG